TTTCATTTCTTAATTAGACAAAATTGAATTTTACGTTTTATTTAAAGAATACTCCAAATGTCGATTAAAATTTAATCGTGAGATGTTAATACGGCAATTAAAAGTTCTGCAACTCTATTCTAAATATAGTATGTAATGTTCTATTAAATAATTCAACGATAACTTTTTTCTTGGCCACGTGTCTAATATCGTTCACAGTCTCTATTACATAATATAACTAATTATCTCATTATGTCTTGTATGAATTATTGATAAACGTTTTTCTCATCCAACGTTCCCATAGCCATGAGCGATGTCAATAATAGTACAGTTCGATTCTACTTTTGCTCCACCGGCAAGTAGTTTCATCCGTTCAGTGATCAGACGCGGCCAGGCGTGATTGTCAGAGGGACCTTCCACTTCAAACGAGCAATAAATTTCTCTCTTTCACCCGGTGTGTCTAACCTCACGTAACTCGCCGTTACCTTTTAAAGAGTCGTCCAATATCAATGCCGTTTCCCTGACGCGACGACGCATATAATGCTTGGTCCATTTATGGGCATAATGCGGCATGTTACATTGTCATTTCTTTTTCGCAATCACCTTGACCCACATCGGTCCCGGCATTAGGGACACGTCATTTCACCGATTGCGTAACGTTCATCTTTCTTCAATTTTTTTTTTTTTGTTACCCGGTTCGCGTTTGATCAGCCACCCGCCAATACGTCAGTCACAAACTATTCGCATACCATTCGAATTCTCTTCGGTTAATCCGACTCGATTCACGAGATAAGTTCTGAAGGTCTCGATTCTACAAATTGGGAGCCAAATTGGACAGCAAAGCATTCTGCCGGAGGCTCCGCAGTTGTTCTTATTTCATTAAACTCATGATGTGTCATAATTTTATTACAACATTTGGTAATTTTATTTAAAAATTTTTAATTAAAAATGTTTTTTTTTAATAAAAATATTCAATGTTATAATAGCATGTATAATATTTGTGAAAATTGTAGAATGTTTACCTTCAAGAAATCGCGCAGCCAAATTACTTCCGGTTTAGGATCGCCGACCACCTCGCAAGATATGATGACAGTGTCACCCTCGAGTGCTTCCGTGGACAAGGGTTTCGTGACGAAAAGAGGTTCCTTCGAGTATCTGAATGAAATACGAAAAAAACAAAGGATTGTTAGACTGCCGATTTTTATGAAAAATGAAACTCTCACGATAGATTAGTGTCTGACTCGTGGGTCATGGATTCACTACCACTGCTCTATAAGAATCAAATAGTGGATATTTAAGAAAAAATTTTGTGTTATGCAGTGTTATTACAATCGATTGATTAATTTGTTCGAAACTTACGGTATGTCCGGCGTTGAAGCGACCGTCACGGTTGGCACACCGTCGGTTGATATTTCCTCTTGCGTGTCACTGTCAACAATAGACACCCTCGTCGAGGTCTCGGTGCAGCCAACTTCGTTCGTGGCAGTGCAACAATAAGTGCCGGCGTCCCTTGGAGTGATTCTCGCCAAAGATAATTCAACGGTGCCATCGTGATTCAAAGTCATCACTGTTCTCCTGCTTGGTCGCAGTCGAATCCCGTCTCGATGCCTAAAAAAATTTTCATCATCGTTTCAACAATCTTTTAACATTAAACCTATCGACAATTTTCGTATACTAATGTGTTATATTTATACTTCTTATATTTCAGTGCAATTTAATGTCGGCATTGGTACTTCAGTTTGGTACCAGGTTCAGTTGGTACCAAATTTTTCCAAGAAAAGATGGAATAATTATATTAGTTTTTTGCAAGATATTTACCATACTATGCCAACGCTAGGATATGCTTCTATTTGGGCAGTCATTCTGCAATCACCGCCCACTTTGACTGTGTAAGCAGGGTCGAGGCCATGTAAGAATTCCGGCGCTATGTAGGCACGAATTCCTTTGTCCACAACCAGGATACAGCGACACGACACCGATCCGTTCACGTTCCTAGCAGTTACCATGTAACAGCCAGAGTCTTCCAGCATCGCTTGAATGATCTCCAAGGTGTAGAAATTGGAATCGTTGTCCCAAAACGCGTGACGTTCTTCAGAATTAAAAAAACACTATTAATGTCCTTAAACGCTTTTATTGTTAAGGTTGTATGAACCCCTAAATATTATTTCTAATGTTGATGTCGTAAAAGTTTTATTTTTAATAAAAATCCCCAGTCTATTTATTATACTCTATTTATTTACCATCTTGATGAATTTCCTTCCCATCCTTGAACCAAGTGATTTCCGGGGTTGGATGTCCCATTACTTGGCACGTGAGCCTCACGGGGTATGATTGCTGAACCCTTCTGTCACGAATTCTCATCGTGAACTCCGGTGGCCTGTCTTCAGTCTCTTCTCTAGAGTTCAACAAGATAAATTTAATAACAATGTTTATATTAATTATTGCAAAGTGTCTCGTTCATTCGTACTTGGATTTAAGTTTCTCGTCAGCCTCGATGATCTTTGGATCGTCGACGACGAGCACCCTGGCGAACGATGAAACTTTCCCAATCGAGTTTCCAGCCTCGCAAACATATCGGCCACTATCAATTTCCTGAACTTTTCCGATCGTAAGACAACATTTGGACCCATTACGAGATATCAACCACCTGGTATCACCGTCAACGTCTATTTCCGTTGACTCGTAGTACCATTTTATATCCACGTGCGAATCAGTTCGAATCTGTATTCCAAATAAAAGACAGATGTATCATCTTTCAAATGGTAGACGTAAGAATTTTAAACAACATAAATATATGCATTTTTTATATTTCCATATAACTTCGTACGATGAATAAAAATTAATTAATTAAAAGTAATTAAGTACGATTATTAAATTATTTTTTGTAATTTATTGTTAAACATACATCATATAGTACGTCATACTAATACCATTAAAAAAAACTATTTCATTAATTTCGATGTGAAAAAAGTTATGCAATTTTGAAATGTGTACAAATATTTCTGGACTTCACTATACTGTATGTGCGTTCTAAATTTTACACTTTTGATGTGACGTGTGAACATCTTAATTGTTGATCCACGCGCTCAAACCTTGCTCACACGAGAAATACATTCATACACGTATGTTTAATTATAAATAGGCCGGAACAAAGGTAAGAAACGAAGCTTGACTATTAATAGCGTGACTTGCCTCGCATTCCAATTTGACTGTGGACCCCTCGAGGACCTTGAGCTGACCTGGTAAAATCTTAGTGAACTCCGGAAGATCGACAGTCTCGCTGACCCTGACAGGATTCGTCATAGTGACCGACTCGCCCCATCCGTAGCGATTCCTTGGCGTCACTTGGAACTTGTACTCGCCACCCGGTTTCAAATTGAACGCGTCGAACGCGTTTATCGGCGTCATACCGAGCTAACAGAATTATAATCGTAAAATAAAAAGATTCAAGAGGAAAAGCAATAATTTATCAATGTTCTTCTTACTTGATTCCCCGATGGTTTGCGTGCAAAGATTAATAGTAACTTTAATGTATGAGACCTCGAGATGTCAAGAAATTCACGACGTTGCACAATTCCCGCATTCTACATTTCTCGTAAATTTTCTCGGCTGACTTTTGGACAAATTCAATGAAATTCTGTCAACGTCTTAATAATTTTTAGTCAATCTAAGCTTTTAGTTCTTTGAACATTTACTATTTCCGGTTTTTGTAAATCAGAATATTTTTACTACAGATAATTTATGCAAGAATTTTTTTAAATGCAAATCTTTTAGGTATTATAAATTTCATTTATCATAAAACGAATATAAATGGATGAATATCAAATTTGTTTATAAATGATTGTATAATACCTCGACCCATCGTGCACCACCGTCGCTGCCGAGCATCCAAGCGTCAACCCTGTAAGCAATGACAGGCACTGGCCCTCTTCTTTCAGCCTTTCCCCAACTTAAAGACAGCCAATTTCTTCCACCATCAACCACCACCGGTTCGCTAGTAATCGGTCCTGGAACATCTAATTAAAACAATCATATTTTCATTATTTCTACACATAATTTTAATCAACTAAGGGATGTTTTTAGCAGGTCTAGCTTCTAGCTTGCTGCAGCACTCAGGAATTTTTGTTAAACAAACCCATGCTTTTAAGTTTAGTTCTCAATCGTTTATCGTATAAATCGTTTGCGACGTTTGCAATTTACTTGAAGTAGTTTCGGGTACACTAATAACAGTTCTCTAATTTTCCTCACACAAGATGCTAACCTCGGTGCCCATACAGATACTCCAAAAAGTCGACAATCAGGCAATCCTTTTCAGACCAGGACCGCCTTAGCCGAGAAATCGTCATGTGTTCACCGTTCCCCACGACGATTCCATGATCGTGCGGCTTCATTCTCACGGGTTAGTCAAATTTCATCTCACGTCTCTTTACTGCTTTTCATTGAGAATCACAAGAGCAGAAGAATTATCGCCGGAACAGCATCCGATTGTCCTTGAATGTTTCACGTATTGTTTAACCGGCAGAATTCTATCCAGACACGTTTCGAGGAAATCCCGAAAAATGTCAAGGTGCGCTCCTTCTTTTCAAGGCTCGCGAAAAAAAAGTAGGCCGCGCGAAATGACTCGCGTCCCGACGCCGACTGAATTTCGAATTTACGGATATGTACACGGGATCGGGTCGAAGGGAGGCGCGCGCTTAAGCGTTTTAGTGGAACGAAAATAACTCGACACGAAAGAGGTGTTCCCACGAGTGGATCGGTGGGTGGTGTCACACGGGCTTGTCGTTATACGAGAACCAATTCGTAGGAATCATGTCACCTATTTCAGTTGATCGTTTCGGTTTTCATCAATCGTTCATCGAATCACACGATTCTTCATTGTAACTTCGACTTTGATTATTGTTACATTTTGACAGTGATATGCTTACGGTTGATCGTTGCATAAACTTGTTGGCAGTCACGGTCAACCGGGGGGTGGCATTGACTATTATTTGATGCTGCAACTGTTTGCTTCGTCTCGTGTTTTACTTCTTGATACACTTTATTCTGATATTAACGTTCTGTGCTCTTTCAACGTGACAGAATGTTTCCCTCTGTTTCATTTTTTATAAAAACATTTACCTTCTATGATTTTGTAATTCTCCAAGTATTTGATTTGATGATGCATGACTTCTGTAATACGAACCGGGCTGTTTATTTATTGAACGGCCTACTTTGAAGGAATCACATGGTCCCACAGTATGCTCCGTTTATTTTTGCATATTTTCTGGCAGTTGATAGAAGCATAAAACATTGACACTACAAATTCTGTTTTATTCAGAATTAAAGGACGTAATGTAATCTTGATTTACCAATTTGATTTATTCGATAAGTATGATTCAAATTTTATTTCAGAGTACTAAATGCTACTAAATATAATATGTACTAATGTCTATTTTAAATAATAAATAACATGCATTTTTACAAAATAGTAAATAAGAAAAATGTTACTAATTTTATCTAAAGCATTTCTCATTACAGATAACATAATAATTAATTGATAAGATCTTCACAGTGCGAATCAGAAATGTTAATTGTCGAGTAAAATTAATTTTTGACAAACCACGGGACGGTTCTAATTCGAGAATCCGGATTCTCTTCCAACATCGGTGATTCCATTGCTCGCTAACAAGTGTACGTATTTAATCACTAGGGTTTCTTTTGGGTTTTAATTGACGCGAGCGTCACGTTTGCTATTATACGTGGCACGCCGTATATTTGAAAGGTTTGATCAAGGAAATGTCACACTTGGCGTTAATCCAGCGTCGGGTACAAATGTTCGTGAACTACAAATGTTTATAATTTTACTCGAAGGATAACAAAATTTTGGATGAAATTTGATTTACTGGCTGCTCTACTTCCAACATTGTTGAAAACCCATTCATTTCCTTGCGTTTATAGAGGGGAGTATAGATGTTCCTTTACAAGATGTTATCCTCGACGGACTATAAAAAAATTAATATAAATTCATAAATAAATTCGCCTGTGAACTTTTATTCCATCTATCCTATTCAATAAAAGTGATTTTAAATTTAGACTCGAAGATCAATTGATAAATGCTTCTTTTTTATTCTATTTTTTGACTTCTAATTTTTATTTTGGCTATTCCGTCCGATGGGAAAAGCGCGCCAAACAATGCATCGCCGAAATAGAATTTGCTATCTCGTTAAAAGTCAGCTGATTGGTGTTTTTGGTTTTCGGGCAGAATTACAGATAACATAATAATTAATTGATAAGATCTTCACAGTGCGAATCAGAAATGTTAATTGTCGAGTAAAATTAATTTTTGACAAACCACGGGACGGTTCTAATTCGAGAATCCGGATTCTCTTCCAACATCGGTGATTCCATTGCTCGCTAACAAGTGTACGTATTTAATCACTAGGGTTTCTTTTGGGTTTTAATTGACGCGAGCGTCACGTTTGCTATTATACGTGGCACGCCGTATATTTGAAAGGTTTGATCAAGGAAATGTCACACTTGGCGTTAATCCAGCGTCGGGTACAAATGTTCGTGAACTACAAATGTTTATAATTTTACTCGAAGGATAACAAAATTTTGGATGAAATTTGATTTACTGGCTGCTCTACTTCCAACATTGTTGAAAACCCATTCATTTCCTTGCGTTTATAGAGGGGAGTATAGATGTTCCTTTACAAGATGTTATCCTCGACGGACTATAAAAAAATTAATATAAATTCATAAATAAATTCGCCTGTGAACTTTTATTCCATCTATCCTATTCAATAAAAGTGATTTTAAATTTAGACTCGAAGATCAATTGATAAATGCTTCTTTTTTATTCTATTTTTTGACTTCTAATTTTTATTTTGGCTATTCCGTCCGATGGGAAAAGCGCGCCAAACAATGCATCGCCGAAATAGAATTTGCTATCTCGTTAAAAGTCAGCTGATTGGTGTTTTTGGTTTTCGGGCAGACTTTTATTCGCGAACGGCCTCGACAGGTCGGCCTAAAAGTATTGACGTCATTACGAGGCGTTAGTCCAGGGTTCGCTTGGACTGGGTCCATTGAAACCTGGGGCAAGCGTACTTGCGCTACAGTCATTGTCGTACATCTAATTATAAAATTCGATTGCGTATGTTAAGGTTGTATGAGCCCTTAGAAACAATCAGTATTCAAATTTTCACAGTTATTAGATATTTATACCGAATTCATAAATATTAAATTAATGATACATTTGTGGACATTTATAGAAATTTTGCGAAGCTATTAAAAAATTTATTACATCTTGAATTCTTATGTTGAATTGAAATATTTTGATTTGATTCATGAATAATGCAAGATAGAATGCAAATTAAAATAATATCAACTTCAAGGATATAAGGACCGGAAATTATTCTCATATAAGGACGAAAAGTTTATTCCCGTATATCCATATTTTGCTCTATTTTTGCTTGGTCATTGATAAAACAGAGCAAAAAAACGTCAAAATTTTACTGACATGTGTTAGAAAAGTCACGTGACTACCTTAGCCCCTTAACTCGATTAGTAATAGCTGACAATCACTGTATAAAAAATGAAGCTCGATGTCGTTTTCGATATTAAAAAAATCCGCAATCTAAGCGATTTAGAGCGCTGGTATGTTATTGAAGCTTTCCTCTTCTTTCATTGAAATGTACTTACTCCTGATGTGAGAATATTCGTCGTCGCGACTGTCGCTGGACAAACCGAGAAGACTTCCGGTTTCAGTACGGCTGCTCAGAGTACTCCAATCAGGTGTCAACGATCTGGCACGTTGTTTCACCTAATCGAACAATTTATGCGTTCTTTCTTAGAATCAAAAAAGTGGAATAGATGATTAGACTGCACATTTTTATACAAAGTACGATCTTTTTGATATCGAGTTATAAAATTAAATTTGTATTCAAATTTCTTTTATTGCTCAGAAATAATATAGTTATTCTATTCAATTTTAAACATTCCAGTCTTTATCTTTTGTGCTCTGTTATTTTTTTTATAAATACGTAGAGATGATATTCGATACTACCTTAATAGAGAAGAAACTTCGATCACAGCCGTATCTGTTTTTAAGTAGAATGCAATAGGTGCCTTCGTCGGAGGATGTCACTCTCTTCAACGTCAGTCTCACGTAGTCGTTGACAGTTTCCTTGTAAGATCGGGGACCGTCCGTGATATCAGTTAACCCTTTCATCCATATAACTGAAAAACAAAATAATATTCCTCATACTAAATTATCAAATTATTTTATTGAATCATGAAATTTTAGTTTTTCCAAAAATTTGTTTTCCTAGAAATAGTTGAAACATTTTACCTCGAGGTTTCGGAGTACCAGAAAATCTGAAAGAAACACTGACATCTTCGTCAGTGGTGACGGTGATTGATTTATCCACGGGTCTCGAGACGAACATCGCCGGTTTTCCACCGTCGGTCGCGCTCGGCGATATTACCTCGATGTTAGCGACAGTGTCAGCGTGACCGAAGGCGTTAATTGCCCTACAGATGTACGTGCCTTTCTCAGATTCGGTAACCTCCGGTAGAACCAAAGTATGAACACCCGATTCTGTGAAAGTTTTCGCCTTTGGAACTGACACCGGTTCTCGTCGCTCGCCGCGGAACCATCTTACTTCCGGTGCTGGTACCCCTTTTTTCACATAAAACACATGTTAATAAGAAATAGGAAGTTAATTAAATAATTAAAAAATTTTGTTCAGAAGATAATAAACGGTTTTACCATAAATCTTCGATGTAATAATATTACTAATTGATACCTTTAACTTCGACTTGCAAGGCGATGGTACCACCGGTGGGAACGGTATGGTCGGTCAAGTAATTGGAGAAACGCGGCTTCCTGGTCGCTTCAATATTGAAATAATCGTCGAAGAGTTTCTCATGTTTGCCAATGATTTTCCGTTCCCGTTCTTAAATTAAAACAAAATACACATTCACGAGAAAAAATAATAATATTACTAATTGATACCTTTAACTTCGACTTGCAAGGCGATGGTACCACCGGTGGGAACGGTATGGTCGGTCAAGTAATTGGAGAAACGCGGCTTCCTGGTCGCTTCAATATTGAAATAATCGTCGAAGAGTTTCTCATGTTTGCCAATGATTTTCCGTTCCCGTTCTTAAATCAAAACAAAATACACATTCACGAGAAAAATGTGAATCAATTATTCAGAAATAAAATTAATCAAATTGAAATCGTGTTTTAATATCGTTCAATTTGTTATTTATTTTATTACCATCAAATTGAACTATGTGGTGTATCTCCTCGGTTCTCAGATCGTTCATCGCTCTGCACGTGTATCGGCCACCGTCAGAAGAATTAGGAGCAGCGATTTCCAAACGATAGATCCCATCGTCCAGGTAACATTGCTTGAAGCGATCGCCTTGAAGGATACAGCCGTCCTTCAACCAGGAGATGATTGGCATCGGATTGCCACGTACTCGACACTCCAGTATCAACTCATTGTCAGAATGTCGATAAGTGTCTGCGCAATTGTAATAATAATATAATGAGCAAATAATGAAGGTGTAACTAGATTGTAAATCCTTTTTTATGTTTATGCATTTCTGTACATTCAATTTTATAATAATTGCACAAAATCCGCAATCTATTAATTGACGATAGAACATAGATTCATTACAATATTTATGTACCTTTTTGTGGCACTCATAAACCCACAAGTAAACATTCTCAGTCCTGAAAATCGTTTTTAACAGAGGTACAAGTCTTAGAAAATGTTTCCACAAATTAAACACAAGGGAATATATCAAAATATCAATACATTCGTGCGAGTTTAATTACTTAAATTTCTCAACAAATGACATTCATGAATTAAGGATCGGGCTATTAGAAGTGAAGCAGCCTTCTCTTTAAAATTCAGTTTAGTTCATCTCGATCCGACTTCCGGTTCCAGATATGTCGTGTGAAGGCAAACGTAATTCTTTCGGCACCGCTATTGTTATCCTTCTCCCACGTTGACCGACTCGCGGACCTGCCCTAATCTCCAGCAAACGGTCTAGAAGTCTAGATTCTAGACACTCAGATAACTAGGTCACTGTGTCAACAGTACCAAATGTTGCGTCTAGACTTCGGAAGCTTATATCACCGGCAATGATTGAGATATTGGAATAAATCGAAAGCAATTTTTCTCGATTCGGTTTCCTCTATATATATCGAATATTAACGAGAGACGCTGTACATCAATTAAAATGCAGATCTTTTTGATTTACTTACCTTTGATAGATCTGGTGAAAGTGGGGGGTGAAAGTGCTGGTTGGAAATCGGGGTAAACTTTTAACGCAGACTCGGTGCTCGCGATTCCATGTACATTCTCGGCAACACAGGTATACAGTCCGGAATCATCGGGGTGCGCTTCATGCAGTTCGAAATAAGCCATACCGTTATCGAATCGAGTTTTGTATTTGTTCGACGTTATATCAAGCTTCTCGCCGTCTTTCATCCAGTACACCCTTGGCTCCGGGTGTCCGAGCACGGTACAGGTCAACCTCACCCTCATCCCAACCCCTACGGTTCTATTCGTCAGCCTCGTGCAAAACGATGGCTTCTTGCCCTTGACACGTGGCATAAGCTGTAAATATGCAACGTTTTTTATGTTTATGTGATCTTTTAATTGTAATTATTGAAATCCTACCTCGTCCTTAATAGGAGGCAAATAGATGGATAGATTCGATCCACGGTCGTCGAAATCGGTTCGTGCGATCGTCTTCGTCCTGCTGTACCTCGGCGGTTTGCTAATGCTAACAGCAGTGATAGTCGAATCGCTATCCCCCGTCGAATAGTCGTCGTATTTCAGCAAACTGATCGATCTCGCTCGAGTCATTCGGTCGTCCCTCTTCCTTCGTCGTCTATAATAGGATCCCGTGTCGAAATAGTACCTGTCGATCGAGGTGTCCCTCAGCCTGTAGTCGAGAAAATCGTCGACCCGCTTTTTGGTCAAAGACGTTAAAGAATCTCTCCAGCTGTATGACCGGGACGTGCTGGATAGGCCAGAGTCAAAACCGGAATCGTATCGGTAGGATTTATCACGCCTGTCCCGATAGAAATCCATATCAGATGAAACGGTTTTGGTTTTACCGATTCGAAGAGCATCGTCCGCCATTTTTCTGAATAAGTGATCTGAATCACTCTGTCGCCACTTGGTCCAAGTGTCATCTCGTAATTGTTCTTGTCTCCGTTGGCGAATTCTAGACGCTTCCTCCTCGTTTCGCCTTCTCAGACGTTCTTCTTCCTCTTTCATCTCTCGCGCCGATTCTTCCCTTCTCAGTTGCCTCTCGGCTTCTCTCCTACGTCTCTTGTCTTCATCTTCTCTTCTCAAACGTTCTGCTTCTTCTTTCTTTTGACGTTCGTCAGCTCGTCTCTTCTCTAAACGTTCAGTTTCCTTTTTCCTGATAGCTTCCTCGTCTTCTTTCCATTGCTTCTCGGCCTCCTTCCTTTTTCGTCGTCGTTCGTCTTCCCTTTTCGTTCGCTCCTCTTCCTCTTTACGTAATTTAGCTTCCTCTTCGTGCCTTCTATGCTCGCGTTCCTGTCTTCTATGTTCTCGAATTTCGTCATCTCTTCTCAGTCGTTCCTCTTCAGTTTTTCTGACTTTTTCGGCTTCATGTCTAATCTGTTTCTCTTGGTCCTCCCTTCGACGTCGAGCTTCTTCTCGTCTCATTTCATCCCTTTCATGTTCTTTCCTTAATCTCTCAGCGTCTTCAGCTTTTCTACGTTCCTCTTCTTCTTTCTTTAATTTTGCCCTCTTCTCTTTCTTCTTTCGTTCCTCTTCCTCGCGGTTCAGCCTCTCTTCTTCTTCCTTCCTTGCACGCTCCTTTCTTTCTCGTTTGCGTTCTTCCTGCTCCAATTTTCGCTTCTCAGCCTCCTCTCGATCTTTACGTTCATCTTCCTCCTGCTGCAGTTTCCGTTCTTCCTTCTTTTTCCGTAATTTCTCCTCTTTTTGTTTTAATGCCTCGGACTCAGCTTTTCTAGATTCCTCGATCTTTTCCTGCCTCAATTTTTCTTCTTCCTCCTTCTGTTTACGAGCCACCTCCTCCTGTTTTTTCTTCTCAGCAGCTTCTTTTTCTTGTTTCTCCTTCTGTTCCTTTAATGTCTTATCTTCCTCTTCCTTCTTGCGTTTTTCTTTCTCTGCTCTCAATTTCTCAGCATCTTCCTTTTTCTTACGCTCTTCTTGTTTTAATTTCTCAGCAGCCTGTTTCTTCTTATGTGCCTCCTCTTGATTTAACTTCTCGGCTTCCTCTTTCTTTTTACGTTCCTCCTCTTGTTTCAATTTCTCAGCTTCTTCTTTCTTCTTACGTTCCTCCTCTTGTATCAATTTCTCAGATTCTTCTTTCTTTTTACGTTCCTGCTCTTGTTTTAATTTCTCAGCTTCTTCTTTCGCTTTACGTTCCTCCTCTTCTTGTTTCAGTTTCTCAGCCTTTTCTTTCTTCTTACGTTTCTCCTCTTGTTTTGATTTGATGGTTTCCTCCTTCTTCTTGAGTTCCTCTTCTTGCATCAATTTTTCTGTTTCCTCCTGTTTCTTGCGTTCCTCTTCTAGTTTTAATTTCTCAGCCTCCTCTTTTTTCTTACGTTCCTCTTCTTGTTTCAATTTTTCTGCTTCTTCTTGTTTCTTACGTTCCTCCTCTAGTTTTAATTTCTCAGCCTCCTCTTTTTTCTTACGTTCCTCTTCTTGTTTCAATTTTTCTGCTTCTTCTTGTTTCTTACGTTCCTCCTCTAGTTTTAATTTCTCAGCCTCCTCTTTTTTCTTACGTTCCTCTTCTTGTTTCAATTTTTCTGCTTCTTCTTGTTTCTTACGTTCCTCCTCTAGTTTTAATTTCTCAGCCTCCTCTTTTTTCTTACGTTCCTCTTCTTGTTTCAATTTTTCTGCTTCTTCTTGTTTCTTACGTTCCTCCTCTAGTTTTAATTTCTCAGCCTCCTCTTTTTTCTTACGTTCCTCTTCTTGTTTCAATTTTTCTGCTTCTTCTTGTTTCTTACGTTCCTCCTCTAGTTTTAATTTCTCAGCCTCCTCTTTTTTCTTACGTTCCTCTTCTTGTTTCAATTTTTCTGCTTCTTCTTGTTTCTTACGTTCCTCCTCTAGTTTTAATTTCTCAGCCTCCTCTTTTTTCTTACGTTCCTCTTCTTGTTTCAATTTTTCTGCTTCTTCTTGTTTCTTACGTTCCTCCTCTAGTTTTAATTTCTCAGCCTCCTCTTTTTTCTTACGTTCCTCTTCTTGTTTCAATTTTTCTGCTTCTTCTTGTTTCTTACGTTCCTCCTCTAGTTTTAATTTCTCAGCCTCCTCTTTTTTCTTACGTTCCTCTTCTTGTTTCAATTTTTCTGCTTCTTCTTGTTTCTTACGCTCCTCCTCTAGTTTTAATTTCTCAGCCTCCTCTTTTTTCTTACGTTCCTCTTCTTGTTTCAATTTTTCTGCTTCTTCTTGTTTCTTACGTTCCTCCTCTAGTTTTAACTTCTCAGCCTCCTCTTTTTTCTTACGTTCCTCTTCTTGTTTCAATTTTTCTGCTTCCTCTTTTTCCTTACGCTCCTCTTCTTGCTTCAATTTCTCAGCTTCTTTCTTCTTTTGAATTTCCTCCTCTTGCTGTTTTGCTTTTTCGGCTTCCTCTTTCCTTTTAAGTTCCTCTTCTACTTGTAATTTCTTAGTCTCCTCTTCCTTCTTACGGTCCTCTTCCTGCTGTTTCAGTTTTTCCTCTTGTTCTCGCTTCTTCGTTTCAGCCTCTTGTTTTTTCTTAATTTCCTCCTCTTCCGTTTCTTTTTGCTTCTTAGATACTTTTTTCTTCTTCTGTTTTTCATCAGTTTCCCAAACTATTTGCATATTAAGCAACTTATCACGGAGCACATTGATATCGTTCATCAGGTTCGTTATAGGTGTTTCCAGCTCAATAAGTCCTTCTCCTTTCAAACTGTCTTTCCACAACGTTTCCACTTTCTCAGTAGTCGCTTCCAATTCGTGCAAGCTTGATGTCAAAGGTCTCAATATACCAATTACGTGTGCTGTCTCCAAATGCAACGGTTCAGCCACTGGTTTGTCAGCTGACTGCTGTCTAACAATGTCAATTGCCTTTCTTAGTTTCTTTAAGCAACCCGTCGACGATTCGTCGATATCAGTTTTCTGTGACAGATCCTGAATTTCTTTTTTAACTTCTTCAAGGGATTTGGACAGTGTCTTCAGAGCCTCGTTCTCTATTTGAATTTCGATACCCAATAATCCTTTGTAACTTTCTATTTTATTATCAATGGAGTCGATGGAATCGTTTATTTCCTTGATGGAGTTTACCAGTTTCGTCGACACTCTTACAGTTTCTTCCACAGGGATAATCGTTTCCTTCTTCTGTCTTGGCTTCTGGCGTTCAGTGACAGAGATAATTTCTACAGCAGACTGCAATTCCTTCAATGGTTCCTCTAGGTTTTCAAGGTACACATTTGGAGATTCCTCCACTGTCATTATCTTCTCCTTTAAGTGCATCAAAGGCTCAGTCAGAGTTTTAATTATTGCCTCCTTTGTGTTTGAAAACTTCTGTTCAGCAGCTTGTTCTTCAATGAGTGATATACTTTTTTCAAGATTAGACAACGAATCTACGATTGCGTCGATGCTGGCTTCTTCTTCCTCTACAGTCATCTCAGTTTTACCCTTAAGTATCAGAAAACTCTCGTGAACTTCTGTCAAAGGTTGCACTAAACTCTTCACAGCCTCGACTTCCATTCCAGCTTCTTCGCTTTCCCTTATTTCAATGATCGTTGATTTTATTACTTCCACTGGTTGCACTAACTTTTCAATCACCGACCAATCCGGAGTCTCGATTCTTGGCTGTTCTTCAGCAACTCCTGGCTCCACCACGACGCATTCTTTAATTTCTGCTATAGATTTTTCTATCTCGTGTAAAGGAACTGCCAGACACTCCGTGATCCAATTTGTTGATTCCTCAGGTAGTGGTTCTACGTCCGGTGACATTACTCGTTCTTCAAGCACAGAAATGCTTCTCTGAAGCGTCATTAGAGGCTCAGCTAAGGCTGTCAACAAAGCTAGTTCATCAACCTGTCGATCCTCTGCTGACTCAACCAGCATACGATCTTCAATTAACGCAATTGAATTGCAAAGCTCTTCGAGAGGCTGGATCAACGGATTGAGAGTAGCTTCCTCTCTCTCATCATCACTAAACGATCTTTCTTTAGCAGATTCAATGGCAGTTTGCTCGTGGATCACGGACACGGCCGCGTTCTTCAATTCTAACAAAGGCTGAGCCATAGTTGCCAAAAGAGAAAGATCTTCCTTCTCTGATAACGAGAGAGCCATTTCATTCGCGTCCATAGACTTCCTTTCTTCCACAACAATTGCCAAGCATTCTTTCAACTCGTTCAGAGGTTTAGCCAAACCTTGTAACGCGTGAACCTCCTCTTCGGAGATCGACAGAGCCATTTCCGAGGGCGACTCGATGCTTCCTTGATCCACTACCATCGGTCCTGTCACCTGAACGTGTGACTCTTCCAAAATATCAGCCCAGGTCTTCAACGATGATGCATCCTCCGATATGGTATCAGCTGCTGGTTCCATAATCATTTGCTGATGATCGATGGTCGTCATTCGTTCCACTAGATCGTGTAAAGACTTGGCGAACGTCTCAAATGCAGTGACGCTTTCGGCTTTCGATAATTCGTTCGCGAATTCCGTTGCTGGTTCAGTGATTTGCTGCATGGCGGCAACTGAAGTTTTCAAGTCAGTCAGGGTCTGAGCCATCGTCTTCAACTGAGAAGCATCCTGCCCTTCAGACATACTCTGTACGCCTTCCTCAAGGATCATCTGCTCTTGAATCGCAGCGATCGATTTCTGGAACTCTTCGAGGATGGGTCTCAGGCTAATTTTTTCAAACGACACTTTGTCGGTTTCTATAGCTTCTGCAATGTGTTCAGTTACATGCTCTCCTTGAATAGCAGCGACGAATGACTGTTCTAACTGTTGCAAGGGAGATATCAGCTCGCTTAGCATCGCTACAGGTTTCTTTGTCTCTGGTGTTTCAAGTATTCCCGTTTCTTGGAGCTTGATCTCTTCAATAATGCAAATGGATTCTTGCAAAATTTTAGTCGGCACAAGAATGCTTTCTGAGACCTCGGTTTTCATTGGCTTTACTAATTGCACTGTTCCTATAATTGCTGCAATCACTTTAGGCCTTGAAATAACTGCTGAACACTGTTTCTTCAACTCTCCCATCGCTTTTCCGAAAGCTTCCAACGCACTCGTGTTCTCAACGTCTAGAATTTGCTGTCCAGGTTCTTTTATGGTTGTCAATTGCTGAACGACAGCTATAGATGTTCGCAAATTGCTTACAGATCGTTCTAACTTCTTCATCACAGCGAAGTCTTCGGTGTCTCCAGATAGAGCCAACGTCTCTTTGGCAAGAACTAGTTGCTCTTGGATCTCTGCAACATTTTTATTAAGTTCTTCTAGTGTAGACTTCACAGGCAATTCTTGCAAAATTGGAATTGCTTGCGAAATCTCCTCGATGGTCTCGTACTTCGCTGCCTCTCCTTTCATTGCTGACACGAAAGATTCTTCAAGTTTTTGAAGGGGTTGCACTATGCTTAAAAGGACCACAGCTTCTTTTTCCTTTTTCTTTCCGACCAACTCGGTTTCTTTATCCATAGTTAATATTGTATTTTGCAACTCACTGATCGGCTCAATTACACTTTTGACGAAGTCTTCGGCTTTCTTCTTGGGTGAAACCTCCTTCATGGCTTCCTTCACTTCCTGCTGCCTCACGACGGCCAACAGCTTCTCCCCAGCTTCTTCTACTGTTCTCGCAAAAGCTTCCAAACGAGATTTTTCTTCACCAGCTTGTATCTCTTCTGGCTTAACACTTGCTATTTCTTGAACAGCCGCCACTGATAGTTTCATTTCTTCCAAGGATCTCTCAGCTGCCTTCATTATATTGATTTCAGCATCCTCTGTCAATACCGAAACAGTTTCACTGGCTTGCTGTTGAACTATAGCAATAGACTTTTGTAATTCTTCCAACAGAGGCTGCAAGTTCAGTTTCTCTACAGGAACGTCGGTTTGCTTTAGTTCCTCTGCGATTTCTTCAGTTACAATTTTACCTTTCTGTACAGCATTAGTCAAGGCTTGCTCCAACACGTTCAGTGGCTCGATGAGAACATTTAATTTCAATTCACTCTGTTCCTTTGGTACTTTCAACTCTCCTGCTTCTTGCATTCTTCCTTCTTCAATCTGCGACAGTGACTCGCGAAGGACGTGAACGGTGCTACTAATTTTCTGAAGAGTTTCAGCATCCACCCTCGCCTGTTGTTTCTTATGTTCTTCTAATTTCTGTTCTACTTGCCGTTGACTGGCTACGGCTGAACACCGTTCCTCTAACTGGTCTAGCGATTTAGCAAAAGCTTCCAAGACAGATTTTTCAGTTTTCAATTCTTCTGCTTGTTCTGAAATTCCGACCACCTGTTGAACAGCAGTCGCTGTCGTCTTCAATTCTTCAATTGCCTCAATTATGTTCTTGACGACTTCCAATTTAGCTGCTTGAGGGCTCACAATTAATTGTTCTTGAATAGTAACAATACTCTCTTTCAATTCTTCCAAAATTGGTTGAAGGACTACTGTTTGAGGTGTTTCCTTTTTCATCTCTTCCACGGTTTCAATTTTCTGATCATTTACTTGTTGAACAACATTTATTAAACATTTCTCCAATTTTTCAAGAGGATGTACTAAGGGAGTCAATGTTCCTGCACTCACATTTTCTGGCTCTAATGTTGCAACTTCTTCCTGCATCTTCGTAAGAGTTTCGCGCAGCGTATGAACCGGTGTGACAATCGTCTCAAGAGCTCGCACGTCCAGTTTTTCACTTTCTGTTAACTCCTTCGCGGTTTCCATCGTTTGAACTTGTTGCTGGTTGGCAACGGCCGAGCATTCCTCCAATTGTTGCACCGATTTGGCAAACTCTTGCAACGCTGTTACCTTTTCTGTGTCCGACAACTTTTCTTCGCGACTGGATTCGACAGTAACGACGCTTTGAATGATTGCAAGAGAGGAATTTAAGTCCTCTAAAGATTTCTCCGCAGTCTGCATCAAGGAAACTTTCTCAGTGGACTCTGCTGTGGCTGTTTGCAATTTAATTTGTTCTTGTACTGTAGCCACGCACTTTTGGAGTTCCTCAACCATTGGCGAAACATCTAATTTTGTTGATACTGCAGGCGTCTCAGACATCTCTTCAGCTTCTTCAATTTTAGTAGAAACAGCTTTCTGGACGGTGGAAGTTAGAGAAGTTTCTAATTCACGCAGTGGTTCTATTAGAGTCTTCAATGCATTTTCTGATTCCTTAACTTGGGTAGAGTCGAGAAGTTCAACTTGTTGCAGCCTTCCTTCTTCTATTTTGTTGATCGTTTCCCTCAACACATGAAGAGGACCAATTGCCATTTCTAAAATCTCTAATTGCGATTCTTCCAACTTTTTGGGTACTAATGCAACTCCAACTTGTTGCTGAGAAATAATCGCCAAGCATTTCTCACCGATTTCTTTGACAGACTTTGCGAACGACTGTATAATCGAGGTTTTATCAGCATTTGATAACTCAGTTGTTTCCTCAGTCTGGAGGCATATTATTTCCTGCACAGCAGCCACTGAAGATTTCAAATGTTCCAATGGTTCTTCTATTACTTTGGCCACAGAAGTATCCAGTTTTTCTGATTTCTCTTTGGAAGAATCAAACAAAACTTGTTCCTGAATCACAGCAATGGACTTCTGTAACTCTTCCAGTACTGGTTCAACATTTAATTTCACTGAGGATTGAACGTCCCCTAAATCTCCAGTAGATCCTTCTTTGACAGTACTGATCTGTTCAACAGCTACAGATAAGGATTTCTCTAATTGTTCCAAGGGTTCCACCAAAGTATGCAAAACAGTTGCGGCTTCCTTTGTTTCTGGCATTAAAGCCGCAACCTCTTGAGTCTGTTGTTCGTCCACTTTAGACACAGTTTCGCGCAACACTTGAATGGGACTAGCTATGGCTTCAAGTACTTGCTGCTCGAATTCTTCAAGCTTAGCTATTTGTGGCTGCTGTAGGAGGCTAATTTTAGGTTTCTGTTTACCAGAAACCACAGATAACACTTGTCCTATTTCTTCGACGCCCTTAGCGAACGTTTTCAGAGCTGCTGTCTTCTGTTCAGTCGATAATTCTTTAGCTTCTTCCGTTTCGAGGGTTTGAATCGCTGCAACAGCGGTTTTCAGGCTCTCTAATGGACTGTCTATTAATTCAGCAACGGAAGCTTCCCTCTTCACACTGGATACATCAAGCTTCTTCGGTTGCAAAGCTGCTTGCTCCTCTATCACTGCTATAGACTTTTGTAGTTCCTCCAAAATAGGAGTAAGTACCAGTCCTTTCATATGTTCTTTAATTTCCGAAATCTTTTCTCCTTCCGACGTATTGGTTTCATGAACCACTGCCTGCAACGCATGTTCCAGCTCTTCTAGAGGATGTACCAAAGGCTTCAAGACTTCTACTACGTTTTTACTTGTCTCATCTAACATTTGTATTTCTTCAACTCTCTGTTCCTCAGTCTCAATACTTTCACGTAACAGTTGAATTGGCTGAGTTATTACTTCTAAAATTTGTTCCAATTCCTCATTCTGGATATCTTTACTAGGTTTTTTTATTACTGCAGGCTGACTTATTATTGCCAGGCATTTTTCTCCAAGCTCTTTTATTGATTTGACGAACGTTTCGACAGCTAGTGTTTTTTCCTCGCTGGAAAGACGTTCCACTTTTTCTGTTTTAGTAGCTGCGATTTCTTGTACTGTACCAACAGCAAGCTTCAAATTCTCTAAGGATTCCTTCACTTCCTTCACCATAGTTTTATTCTCTGGTTTTTGAACTTCGCCTGATTCTAATACCAATTCTTCCTGAAGTGTGGCAATTGATGTCTTCAGTTCCTCTAAAACAATATTCAGAAGTAACGACTGTTGAAGAGGAACGTTCTGTCTCATTTCTTCTGCGATTTCTGGAGTCTGGACAATTTGTTGCTGAGTTGACATGTTCAAGGAGTGTTCCAATTCTTCCAGAGGATGGATAACGGAGTTCAATACGGCAGTAGCTGTCTTCTTAGATTTCATATCCAATGTTTCAGCATGTTCCAAGGCTTGTTGTTCAATTTGTACAACCGCTTCACGAAGAGTTTCTACTGGATTGACTATTTTTTCTAGCAGGCTGGTTTCTAATTTTGTTACCTCATCACTAATTAATTTCTGTTGATCCATTACTTCAGTTGATTCTATCGAGGCAACGATGGACTCTTCTCTTGGCTTGACTTCTTCCGGAGAGATCATAAGGGCTTCCACAAGTTCCTCCAAAGGCTTGACAGTGCTCTCTTCGATATCCAAACTTTCTTCCCTTGATCTCATCACTTTAATCTCTTCTACTACTTTCATCTTCAGCTCCGCAGTTTTACGTATCTCGTTTATCAATTTGCCAAGTATCTCGTTTATAAATTGTACATTTGTAGAGAGTGTTAAATATTCTGAAGGAAGTTGAGTGGTTGTTTGTTGGATGGAAGATAATTCACGTTGAAGGGATTGCAGAGGCTCTAAGAGAATTTGTAACGATATCATTACGTTTTCTTTCAGTGCAGGCATTAATTCTTTTTCAGTCAGTAGAAGAACTTTTCCTGTAGCCTGTTCTACGTTCAGTAAAGAGTAGCCTAAATGGAGGAATTGAGTTTCCATTTCTGGAATCGGAGATGATAATATTTTTCGAATCGATGGGCTGATGGTTTTCAAGTCGTAGAGGATTTGTATTAGGGCAGTTAATTCTCGGATTTTTCGCTTCTCCTCTTCAGATTTTGAGGGCAGAGGTTCTTTTAAAGCTATGGATACGAGATTGGTTAATTCTTTAAAGGGTTGTTCTATGGTAACGATCGATGAGGCAATCTTTTGTACTAAGTCTATCTTAGCTTGCTTTTCTTCCTTTTCTGCTTTTTCCTTTGCTGCTGCTAATTCTTCAAATTCTTTCTGTCTTAGAATCTCTTCGAAGTTTTCGGGTACTGATTCTGTACTTTCAATTTCTTGAGATATTTCTAGTTTTTTTTCAGGTATTTGTTCACTTTGCTTTGTCAATTCTTCTGGTATTTTAGATTCTTCTACTTCTGCCCGTTCGTCTTTCACTTGCTTTTCCTTTTCACTCTGATCTACTTTTTTTTCTACGGCTTCGGGTTCTTTCTTTTCTGATTGATCTGTTTTCTCATGTACCAATTCAGTCTCCGTTTTTTTTAATGTCTTATCTGCCTCTGCTGTTAAAACTTCTGCCATTTCTGTTGTTGCTTTTATCTTCTCTGTTTCTGCTACTTTTTCCTCTACCTTTGCTAATTCTTCAGTTTTTTCAGAAAGAGCTTCAGCAGTTTCTTCTTTGATAACTAATTCTTCAGTTCTTTCTGATAATATTTGTAAACTCTCTTTCGATTTCTCTGGTTCTACCTCTTCCTCAGGTTTTTCTTTCGTCTTGGTTGGTTCTTCAGTTTTTTGGCCTTCCTCCTTTTTAATTATATCTATTGACTGTTCTTTTATTTCTTCATCTTTTACAACTTTCTCTGCCTTTCGAGATGACTCTACTTGCTCTTCAATTTTTTTTACTTCTACTTTTTCCGAAGATTCACCCTTTATTTCTTGATCCATTGCGGATGCTACTTCTACACTTTCTTTTTTCGTAACTACTTCTCCAACGCTTTCCTCGTCTTTTACTTCTTTTATTTTTTCACTTGATAATTCTTCAACTGTTACTTGTTTTTGTGCCTGCTCTTCCAATACTTCTTCTTTCTTCTTTGAAACTTCTACTTCCTCTTTTTTCTCTAAAATTTCAATTTTTTGTTCCAACACCTCTTTATCAGACACTTCTATCTTCTGAGACTGGACCTTAGCTTTCTCTTCTGCCTTTGCCATTTCTTCAACCTGCTCAGCCTTGGCTTCCTTTCTTTTCGTCATTTCAAACGCGTCAACCTTCTCCTCTTTCACTGCTTCAGCTTCGAGCTTCCCTTCTCTCAACGCTTGAACAGTTTCACCCTTTTCTTCATTCATCTCTTCAAGGATTCCTGCTTTTTCTTCTTTCATTCCTTCAAGCGTTTCCACTTTCGAAGCTTTCAGTTTTTCCTCGGTCACAATTTCAAGACCTTCAACCTTTTCATCTTTCATCACGCCCGAAGCTTCAATTTTTTCTTCCTTAATCTTATCAACCGATTCTACTTCCTTCAACTCAGTTTCTTTCGTCAAAGCAGCTTGACTTTCGCTTTCTGTCAGCTCTGGAAGTTTCTGTTCAATTGTCACTTTTTCTGTTCCTTCTATTTCTTTTTCAGGCGACAGTTTCTCGACAGTCAGCACACTCTCTACTTCCTCTTTCGAGATTTCGATAATCTCATCAACGATAGTATCAATGTGAGTGATAGTAATTGGCACATCCGTCAAAACATTCTGCTCTTCATCCTTCTGTTCTCCAACCTTTGGTTCTTCTCCCTTCACCTCCTTTACTTTATCTTCCACAACCGCCACCTGCTGAACAGCCGTTATCGAATCCTTCACACTTTGCAACATGTCTACCACCGCAGACAAAGTCTCGACAAGTGAGGAACCTTCAGAAGCCCCTTCGCGAATTAATTGAACTCGATGAAGCGACAAGGAGGAAGCCAATTCGGTCGTGGAAGTAGCCAAAGCCTGAAGGACAGCCACGGACTGAACCGAGACCGAGGGTATCACCTTTTCAACTATTTTTTCCTTCAACGTATTCAAAGCTGATTGAAGCTGATTAGTTGGATAAAGGAATCCTTCCACAATGGCCTCATCGTCAAACGGTTGCTCGTTAGAAATGTGCATGAAGTGCGTTTGCGACAGGGTAATTTGTTTCTGTAAAGCTTCCAATGATTTCGAAATCACTTCCTGAATCGGGCTATCTACGCTTTCTTCCACAGTAGCAAGCGTGTTCCTTAAATGATTAAAGGAGGATGAAAGATTGTATTGAAGACTGAATTCAACGGTGCTGCTTTTCCGCGAGTAATCGGTCTTCCCAATTTGCTTTTGAACAGAAACTGTAGCGTTCTGCAGCATGCTCAGTGCTCCTTTGAACGGTGCAGCCCCTTCTAAATTAGAAATCTTCTCCAAGATGCTTGAACTTTGCTTCTGAAGACCTTCGACCGACTTTAGAATGACGCTTCGTCGTTCGTCCAGCAATGCAACCTCTGGTACCAAACTTCTGCGGCTGCTTTGAACCACTGAAAGACTGCTGAGGAATTCTACCAGAGGCTCGACGAGGCTGCGAAGCTCGAAAAGAATATCTCTCCTTTGATCCAATAACTGAACTTCTTGAGAAGTTGCTGTGATAGTATCCAACAAGTAATCTAAAGGTTTCACCAAAATCCTAGCCACGTCGGTTTCTAACATGTCTTCAGCCTGAGTTTCGAGTATCTTCATTCGTTCTTGGATATTTTCTAACGGTTTTGAAATTTCACGAAGGGATCCTAACAGCTCTTGCCTAGAGTGTATGTCTTTCGCAACAATTGGAATAGTATCTTTAATATCTCTGAGAAGATTTAAAATAGGTTCGCAACTTCTCTTCAGATCCGAGTCTTCCAGTTTTTTAACTGTGTGATTGATTACTTCTGACTCGATTGCGCTCAAGGGCTGGATTAAGTGATCTAAAATATACAATTCTTGAGCACCGTATTGGTGCGATTGCTGGAGAACCTTTTGAAGATCATTCAAGGGTTGCTGAAGATTTTCCAGTACTGAAGCAGTTTGTCCAACTACTTCTTCATAAGAATATTGCGAATTTGCATAGCTTTCAGTCGTGACTCGCATATTGGAAATCGTTTTTCGTAGCTCTTCCAACGAATTGCCTAATAAAGAAATTGGTGTAATAGTCGTTCCAGTGGTAGGCTGCTCGAAATCGTCCAAAATGCCAGTCACGTCGAGGTGAACGGTTTCCAGAGTTCTGGACAGCGAAACGATGAGATCCATAGCTTGCTCAATTCTCTTTTCTTCTGTAAGCTGCTCTTTTACTTTTGGTGAATCTTCTATGGTAGTAACTACTTGCTCCGTTACCTTGGAACTAATATCTTCCACTGTAGTTTGTTCGATTATCGACTCAGCGAATTGAGTTTCAGGAAATATCGTGGTGCTTTCCAGAGTGCTCTCGGGGATAGTTTCTTGAGAGGTATGAGCCATGGTGGTTTCCTGCGGAATGGATTCATCCTGAATAGTTTCCTGAGATGTTCCTACTTCTTCGTGTGTCATTGATTTCACCATTTGCTTCAGTTCTCTTCTGTACAACGCCTCTTTAATCGAAATAGGTATTTGGTTTCCAATCTCTTCCACAATGTCCACAATTGGCCTGAGCGATTCCTCTCCGGCATGATCCCTGAGGACGTCCATAACGGTTTGCAGAAGCTGCTTCATGGGTCTGCTCAATCCTTCCAAAGTAGTCAAGTCTACTGGCTCGTGATACATGGATATAGCATTTCTGAGTCTCATTAACGGTTCCTTTAATTCAATCAAAGCTTCGATTAAATTTTCATCGCTCGGAGGCTCAGAGTACGAAGTTTCAATAGCGATTTTGTTCACGTCTCTCTTCAACTCCTCCACGGTTGAACTCAGAGCAGATTCCTCTTCTTCTTTATTACTTTCTTCGGACGTAGTGGATAGCCAGCGTTTCATGGGATCTAAAGAACGACTGATTCTATCAGCTAAAATAAACGTAGGAGCTTTTTCTTGTTTCGGTTCTTCCTTTGGCATTAACTTTTCTGCTTCCCTCTGAGCTCGCTTTTTCGATGCCTCCTTCGCGATCAATGGCGTGTCCTTTTCTATCTCTTCGAGAAGCTCTAAAACTGGAAGGATCACGTCCGTTCTTGCGTTACTGTCGACAATATTCTGGACAACACCTTTCATCTTTTCTATTGGTTTTAGAAGATCTTTCAACAATTGCTCTTCCTCGGGCTCGTGTTCTTGTGTCAACAGGGACCTCTGCAGGCTTAACAAACTTTCCTTCAGCAAGTAAATCTGTTCTATGATCTGATCATCGATTGGATTCTTCAAGTTCGCGATCGCCACTGCTGAGGAACCGATGCTCTGTCGCAAATCCTCGACGCAGATAGTCAAACTCGACATATAAGCAGCAGAACTTCTTTCATGTCTTTCTAAAGCCGACGACAGGGCAAAGTGAACGTTGCTGAGATTTTGATCCACGTTCAAACCTTGTAAATAATGTTTCGTCGCTTCTTCAGCTTCGACTAATTTAGCTACAGTCTTCGGCAATTGTGTCTCGATTTCCTCCAACACTTTCGAAACGCTCTTTATCACTGTGATCATCTCCTGCGAGTGGCAGTGAGTCAAAACTTTCGACACGACTGCCTTCAGCTTTTCCACAGGAACTCCTACTTTACGTATCAACGGAAGCTCCGGAATCGCCCTGTTCTCTGAAATGAGAAGCGACTGCAATTCCATAAGAGGTTCTTTTAATTCTGCCAGGCTGATCAGTGTCTCCTCTTCTTTTAACGTCATCGCCGTGTGAGCTGAGTCAGACACGTACTGCCTCAACTCTATCAAGCAGCTAGCTACTTCTGAAGAGGCTAATATTTTCTGAGGACCCGCTGCCCCGTTTGTAACAGAGTCCACGTCTTCTATACTTTGCAGAGCTGTGCTCAACGCTGATTGAACGTCGATCAGAGGATCCAAGATCTTCTCTGGTAAATTCTGAGGCTCTTCACCTGACCTTGAGGATATCGTCTCTTCCTGTTCTTGCACGCGAACGATTCTCTCGATGTTAGACACCATTTCCAAGGTTGGTTGCAACGAACTCTCTTCTAAATTAGTCATGGTCGATTTTAATTGAGATATCGCCGGTTGCAGAAGTTTGAATATTGTTTCCGAGTTCTCAGAGATGGCGATCGAAGTGAGAGCGTATTGTAAAGAGTTCAGAGGCCCTTCCAGACTTACTAGTGACTCTATACCGATGTCTCGCTTCTGAGGAGATTTCACTCTTCGATAAATCTCGTCTACTCGATCGAAGATCGTCGACAAACGAGGATCCAGAGATCCAGCAATGTTTTCATAGGACTTCAACGCTTCTTGAAGAGATAGTCTTACTTCTTTCAAGACATCCTGTTTCGTTCCTTCAATTACAGGTTTCTGCTCCTCTACTGTCTTCCTGTCTTTCGTCCTTCGAATCTCGTCAATGGTTTTTCCTACAGAATCTTGCAGAGACTCGATCAGCTTTGTTCTGTGCTCAGACAAGATCCCTTTCGATTCGTAAGTTTCTAATGCTGACTTCAAAGTGTCCAACTTTGCTTTCAACTCTCGCGTTGGCAGCATAAGCTCGTCTATTATTTTAGTAATATCTTCGGTTTTCACTTCTGTCGAGGAGAAGCGGCTCAGTGATCGAGCCATGTCTTCCAATGATTTCGACAAAGACTCTACCACCACTGTATCTACAGTCTCTATCGTTCCCTTGGCTGGATCCACGGAAACGTCATTCAAGAAGAAGTCTAGAGTGCTGAGAATGTTTTCCAAACTCGCTACTAGTCTTTCAGCTCTTTTATCAACTGACAGAACGTTTCTGATACACTCATCCAGCTTAAAAACTGCAGACGTCATTCGAATAAGAACGATCGGTCGCTCTCCCCTCGCCCTGCCAGTCAATTCATGTTCAATCTTCGTAATTCCCATCAGAATTTCATCGACCGGGTCTGTGAGGCTCTCCAGAATTGCGATTAAATCCGTTTTGCGGTTCTTTACGTTCTCTTGACGCTCTATCAACTCCATTCCACGCAGAAGCTCTTCCGTTGGTCCTCCAATCGCTTCTAACAATGAAATACGTACCGTTTGGTTCAGTGATCTGTCGCCAGCATTTTTCAGAGCTTTAGATTCAATAGTAGACACCTCTTCGCACAAACTCTGAATCGGTCTAATAATATTCTCCGTTACAATCATCCTGCATTCATCTTCACTCCCGGTATTCAACTTAGTTTCCAGATTATCAATTTTAACCAGAGTGTCGCGAACGACAAGCACAGGCTCCTTCAATCTCTTCATGTTGTCCAACAATCTTTCCTTGTTACTTTTAGACAACGATTTCTCAGATTCGCTGCTCTGTTTCTTCTCAACTTCCACATACGGTTCCTCAGTCTTGCTTATAGACTCGATGCGTTGAACCAGTTCTGGTTTGGCACTGCCTTCTCTGCGCTTGCCATCGACCTCGCTGCCTATTGAAGATTCCTCGGAGCTGCCTTTATCCCGTTTGTGCTTCTTCCTACGATGTCGCTTCTTCTTCGGTGCTCCGGTGACGGAATCGAACGAGGAATCGCCGCCGATTCCATCGTCTATACTGGAACCAGCTGTCTTGTCGACGCTTAGGCTCCGTTTTCTCTCCCGCCCGTTTTCATCTAATCTCATTTGGTTCTCCGAAATTGACAGTCTCGCTGAAGACAGGACATCGGCGAAAGTGTCGCTGTCGTCTTGTTTCAAAGAAGATACTGGCGATATCGGGGAAACAGGTGAGAACGGTTCCTCCCTTTGAGCACTGTGGAAGCTCTCAGACTCGAGTTTCAAACTCTTCTCGCTTTTTTCGCTCTTCGAAGAGGAACTGGATTTCTTCCGAGGAGGCCGAGTCGGCGGTTTGTCGTCGTCCTCCAAACTGTACCCAGCGGATCTTTTTAAGGAACTGCGAGAATCTTGTTCTGGGGAAGAGAGGACTCGTGTTATGTCGTCTAGGATGGAGACGTCTTCGAAATCAGCTTCTGTGCGGAGATCGTCGCCGTCCTCGGCACTGACGAAGTAGTCAGGAGACACGTCGATCACTACAGCTTCCATTAACAAGTTGCCGGAGTTTGAAGACTCCTTTACGAATCGCATTGGTGGTAACTCGATCACGTTGTGCTCTATAAAAGGTAGCGAGAGAACTCTTGAAACTTGTTAAAGATTTGTTCTTGTTTCACGTTCTTACTGGCGTTTTGTATACAAAAATATTTAAATACTTGAAACTAATGCTATTTTATAGGGACACCCTATAATAGAAACGTGTCGATACTCACCTGTTACGTGTTCAGACAACTGATCGGCGTACATCTCAACGATCTGTAGAGCCTCCTCCTCGGTCAAATCCGGCGTTTCGTACAAACTAACTGAGACTTCCTTGCCGTCGAAGCTAAAGGACACCTCCCCTCGATCATCCAACGTGACGGAATGGTCGGTTTGCGGTGTGTCGTATAACTGTGAGGTTCTCTCCTCGTGAATCGTCGAGAGGGACAAGTTTCTCGCGAGCTCGTGACCGTTCGGTGACAGAGGCTCCTTTATCTCTTTACGAGGTAATTTATCTGGAGAGTATTTTTTAAACAATTGTAACAAATGCTTAAGAGGATTTAGTCTTTAATTAATAATGTGGATGAAATGATCACTCATGATTTTATTCAATGGAATCCAAAAGAATTTATTGATCACAACGTGTTACATGCTTTGACAGATTATGCGTTTTACAAATATATGTTTATGATTAGAGTTAAGTGCATGTTTAAAGTACCTTCGAATCCGAGGAGCGAGGCGGAACTGCTGACGGTTCCCATGCAGTTGGTCGCCTCGCAGGTGTAAGTTCCTAAGCAACAGGTGCCGTCCTGCCCGGAAATGATCCTGTGGATGTCTCCTGGTTTCAGCTCGACGCCGTCCTTGTACCATTTGAGAACCGGCTGAGGTACACCGATTACTTTGCACTCTAGGTTGACCGCGCCCTCCTCCGATAATATAGCCCGTAGGCTCTCGAGGAACTTCGGCTTCTTGTAGTGCTTGGGAATGATTAGTTTCAGAAAACAAGAAGTGACGCTCTGACCGTTGTCATTCGAAGCCACGCACTTCCATTCACCCTACAATAGGAAAATGATCATTTATCCTCTTCATCTGTCTATTACTGTTTTCATTAGATTTCACTGGATTTAATTTAGGTTGTTTCGACGAATCGCTTACCTGATCGACAAATTCGAGTTTTCGAACGTCGAGATGGCAGGTGCCAAGATTTTCCTTGGCAGTCTGATACTTATCGTTCTCCTCCACTGGCATGTCGTCTCTATACCAAGCCAGGCTTGGCTCAGGAGATATACTGACTGCGGTTTATTAAAATAAATTGCACATCAATTTTTTTTTTAATATTGTTTAGCTTGTTTGTTAGAAAGTCTGACCTTGCACTGTGAATCGAAAGTCTTCGTTTATCCGCGCTTCGCAACTCCTCAGGCCCTTGACGAACATAGGCGGTTGATCCGTGCTAAGGAGCTGCATGCGTTCTTCTTCGTTCAGTTGATTCTGTATATCTTCGATCGTTAATTCGGCGGTGCTCTTCGCTTCTCCCATACAATTTCGCGCGATACAACAATAGGAACCTAATTATGAAAAGTAAATAGAAAATAATAATACATTCCAGATTAAGAATTGATAAGTATGAAAATTAAAATATGGGGGTCACGTGGTGACAGAAATAAAATTAATACGTTTTAGCAAAAACTTCCTGTTTGGATTACTATTACTAAAATAAAATTGTATAATACCCAAGGAGTTGGTCCCAGTTAATTGATAAACGTCTCCTGGTTTTAGTTCCTGGCCGTCTTTGAACCACCTCAGCAAGGGCGTAGGGAATCCTACGACCTTGCACTCAAAGGACACCAAACCTTCCTCTGTTAGGACAGCTTTCAAGCTTTCCATGAACCGAGGCTTCCTGTAGTTCTTTGGAACTTTCAAATAAAAATATTAATTAACATAAATTATTGGATCTTAAAATGGTAAAAATTAAAGAAATTAGGAGTGAGGAATTCCTTACTGGACATTGCAACGTAGCATGTAGTGAATTGCTTCATGTCTTCGGTGCTGGTTGCGACGCACTTCCATTCACCTTCGTCCATGGCTTCTACAGGGTTTACCTCTATAAAGTATCCACCAAGACCATCTTCCATCACGTGGTATTTCTCACTGGGCTCAATTCGCCCTTCTTTGTTGTACCACGTTATCGCTTTTGGCCATGGTGGTACTTGGACTTAAATTCAGAACAAGATAACAACTGATAGGAATGAATAAAATAATAAATTCTGCATAATATTATAAACATTAAGAGTGATGTGAATGTCCTAATTTCTGTTCACATCATAATTTCTACTCACTGGTGTACTTTTCTATAATTTTATATACTATCTTAAAGTATGACAGTGAGTAAAAATTGTGACGTTAATAGAAATTGGAACAGTGACCTCATAGGCTAATTATTTCGAAAGAAGTTGATGTACCTTTACAGGAAAGCCGGAGAGTGTCCCCGATCCTGCAACACTCGTCCTGCAGGATCTTCGCGAAAACAGGAAGTGGACCAGATGGTGTCATCGAATCCGCTGGTTTCAGGGAACCCTCCCTACTGCCTTTGCCGACTACATGTACCTAAACCATCCAATTTCATTTTGCATTTTCAAAAATTAAATATCTTAACATTTGAGAATTATGTTTTCGAGGACCAATACAATATAATCAATGGACGAGTAATTTTTGCATTAAACATCCACAGTCTTTGTAATTATAAATGTATAAGAATGATTACTTTTGAAGAGGAATAAGCGATTCCCATGCAGTTGACTGCCTCGCAGGTATAAATGCCAAGGGAGGTTGGATCGTCGGGGTTGGCAGTTAAAGCGAACACGTCGCCAGCCTTGATTTCCTTGTCGTCTTTGAACCATCTTAGCACTGGAGTGGGCACGCCGACCACTTTGCACTCCAAGGACACCGTGCCTGTCTCTGTGAGGAGAGCCCGTAGCTCTTCGACGAACTCCGGCCTTTTATATGCCTTAGGAACTGTATTCAATAATTTATTAATATTATAAATAGCTTCAATATTATTTTGCTTCAAACATATTTTATTTCAAATTAAATCATGAGAAGTAAATAATAAAATTTATATGCAAGT